GGACAAAGTCCCCACCAAGCAGAAGCAGGAGAGTTGGGGTCAGACTTCCCTTAGGCACAGAAGTTCAATGGCTGACGCCAGATTGGCTGCCAGGCCAGCCCCATCTGGACCAGCTCCATAAGTTACAAGGAGAAAGGGCTGAAGAACAAAGAGCAAATGGTAATAACAATAAGTAATACGAAAACCAACAAACAAAATCTAACAGCCTAAGACTGCACAGTTGGGAATCCTAAAAGTATACTTTGGAGAGGTGTTTCTTCCCTGTCACTTTAAAAAGAGAAGTTTGGTATGGAAAGGAGAAAAGATGATGGTAATGCATTGAAGAAGATCAAGGGAGAATTTGTAATGAAGCAGGCATTCCAGGAAAATGGGCCCCACACGCTCTGTAGGGGACTTCTGTGGCAGTATGGTGAGGGACTTCTTCCTCTAGTGAGCAGTGTTGTGGGCAGGTGGCCATCTTCGGCAGTCCCAGAGAATATGCTACTTCTTTCATGGGCACTTGTGTGACATGCTGTTGGTCTGCCTTGGAATCAAAGGTGGGATTAGGGAGAGATGGGGATCCTAAAACTATTTATATCTAGGGGAAAACCAGGGGGTTGCTCTTTTATTTCTCTTAGAAAGACTGAGCTGTGGTATGGCCTGGGCAAACACTCTTTCAGCTAGTGGCTTTGATTATTCTGAAATGATACATTCTCTTGACACTCATAAGTTATACAATAAAATAAATCTTCTGTGCATTATGAGACATCTTAGCTAGGCATATCCAGTTTAAAATTTCTGTGAATTTCCTAATAATACCCACTTTCATATAAGGGTGTTGGAAGATAAAGTAGTATCACCTTTAGGAAAGCCATTTAACAATATACAACCCATAAATGTTACAGATATTTTTATTCTTTGTCCAGTAATTCCATTTTTGGAAGCATCTTAAAGAAATAATATTAAATGCAAAGATCTATGTATGAAGATGTTTATTATCACATTACTTATAAAAGTAAAAAACCTGTATCAGTCTAAATGCTAAAAATTGGAGATCGGTTAAGTAAATAATGAAAATCCACACTATGGATGCAATGGAACTATTAAAATGGTGGTTATAAAGTTTTTTTATGTCATTGGGATATGTCTATGACAATTTTAAGAGGAAAAAAGAAAGCTAATTGACATGTAATATAAGCTCTCAGCAATATAAAGTAATATGCATTATACATAGAAATAGGAAACAGATTAAAAATTATCTGACTGATAAGACTGATTTTTGGGCTGGCTGAGATCGGATCCCACATGGGCCAGTGATGCTGTGCCCTCTACAGCTAAGATGGTGAACAACAGCTCGACCTGGAGCTGGGCTGCCGTGAGTCGCCAGCAACGGTGTAGGCTGCAGCGGGGCTGCAGTGGGCTGCCACAAGCTACCATGAGTGGCCGGCAGTCAGCGTGTGCAGCAGGCAACTGGCATGAGCAGCCGGCAGCCAGCATNGATTGTTTTCTCAGTTGGAGGAGGACCAAACTTACATTCAGCAGCACGATTTCCATTCACTTTTGCAAGCTGGATCACTTTTAACTTGAATTCAGCACTGTATGAAAATCTTTTCTGAGCCATTTCTGGGCAGAATGTGGCAAAACGTAACCTACCGTAATATACCGGTAACACGTGCGAAACAATGAGCGCAAAGACAACAAGCGCGAAAAAGCAGGAAATGCAAGTAAAAAAATCTACAACAATGAGCACAAAGGCAAGCGTGAAAAAAGCAGGAAATCCAAGTAAGAAAACTACAACCACTGTATAAGACGCACCCAGTTTTTAGACCCCAAATTTTTCAAAAAAAGGTGTGTCTTATACATGGGGAAATACGGCACTCTTCCTAATTATACTAGTGAATAGCAAGAAGCAGAGGGGTGAAAAGTCCCAAATCACTGTGACTGTGTTTTGATTTTGGAATGCACTTCTGTATAATATTAAGAATCTAAAAGCGGTTGGTGTTCTGGGAATTCCCTTCAAACAAAAATGATGAAACTGCATGATAATGACCTCACTCATGAGTTGCTGGGAAAATGTCCAATATCCACAGCCAGACCCTTGTGCAACTCTTCTGTGAAGCCATATCTTCCTGAAAAATAGATTTCTTGGGATCAGAAGAATAGAAGACCTCTTCTTTGCCCACCTTTCCCTGAGAGACACAGAGCTCCCATTCAGGCAAACTAGACAGGGAAGTGTGTTTTATTTCAAAGAGGCTGGAATCAAACTCATTTAGGGGAAACTATGACTAGTGAGTGTCCAGGGTGTCTCCAAAGCAAATACCTAGTGGCCGCATGCATGATAGCTGCTGTCATCAGGTGGTCTGGGAAATTCCCAAGAGTGCTGACTTGCTGCTGCTGCCTGGAAATGTCATAATGCTCCCCTGATGGCTTCCAGTGACCTGAGGAGTTCAGTGAACACATTATTTTCAAGAGATGTTTAAATTGAGCATTGGTGGGACTGTCTCTAGAGACTTTTAATGTAGTAGTTAAAATTGGATGATGTTACAATCCCAGTGAAGCTTATGTTGGCAGGAATGATTTAAATACTGGGTGGGGGGTGCCAAAAAAATGTATACAAGTGGACACTATGGTCAATGTTGCTCAAGCAGCAGTTCGCCGTAATCAGAAGTGTCTGGACGCTGATAGTAACCACATTGAACAACTCTTGTAATTGCAGAAGTCAAACATGACTTGTATTCATTTTCTGTTTTTGGTATAGATTATTACAATTTCAATAGTTTTATTCCTTTCTTAAAATGTGTATACATTTTTTGGGGGCACCTTCTGTGTTTAAAATATTTAAATTGTTTAGGTTGTAAAAATCGTGTAACAAAATGGTATGAATGTGGTCCATTTCACCCTGACTCAGTCTCAAAGTTCACTCTGATATCACGGTTTCATTTCATCAAAAAACCCCTAACCCGGGGATGGTTGGAAAAAGAAAATTTAAGGGGCAAGTTTCAGATTTCTGTCTCCTATCCAGTTGACTGCTTCAACACTTTGCTGCCACTAAGGAAACTCACCCAAGAAGCCAACATCTTCTTATTTCTTCTCCCTAATTTCCCATGGACCAGTTAATGATCTAAGGGGTGCAGCCATAACTTTGCATGAAGGGAACTTCCCCACTGGATGCAGTATCTTCTTTTGCCACAGCAATTTTGCTTCATGGCACATAGCTAGAGTAAAAAGAATCTTGCAGCAAAGGCGGGGGCACACAAACTTCAGTAAGGAATATGATCAATTTTGAAATGGGTGAAAAAGATTACCAGGTGTCCTGTCTAGGGCTCGTCTCCAGCTTTCATTGTCTTTGAGCTATTTTATAACCCTGTAGTTTAGAAAAATGATAATAATGCAAATAATTCTTATCCATAGAAATGCAAACTTTGACATGTGTTCATTATACATTCATATGAGTGTCATGATTTGAACTATCTAAAAACATTAGCCTCTAAAATAAAGGTAAGCTGTATCTCGTACAATATAGCTGTAGAAATATTTCTTAATATGGGTGGTGATGATTATAAAAGTAGTTAATTCATCTCTATAAACTGCCTAAGATGATAGCATAGAAGAAAATTAATTAACTGAAATACTTACTCTGAAGCATCTGTCAGTCTTGGGTTTCAACATGAAGAAAAGTTGGGTGAAGTAACTAGTTCAGTAGGTCAAGGGGATGGGACCCCACCCTAGCTGGGGGCTTCTGGTCATCATTTTGCATGTCACAACCACACCCAGTTGAGAGCTTGCAAGTCAAAACAAGGCACTCCAATATGACTGCAACCTTACAGGCCACTTCCCATCAGAGAATTATGTCACAATTAACTGTTGCCAAGAATCCAAAGCTACATAAGACCTGTCATGCTACCCGGATGAAGTGTCCTCCTTGATAAAAATAAATAACCAAGACCCAAAGTAGAGGGAGATAGCATGATGGCCTTTCTTATCTGAAATCTCATCATGACTATTGTTTACCAAAACTCAAAAAATGAGGAAAAGGAGAAAGGTAACAAGCATACAACTTAGGCTATATGCTATTGCATTTGTTTTTTATTTGTTCTCATCTGACTTTAGTAAAAATTTACTATGGAGAAAATTTAAGGATTCTCACTTTCAGGATTAATATACAAATCTAAGGCAGACATTGCTCATTACATGAAAGAAAAAGAATTACCAAACAATAGGATCTTAATTTCATTTCAATATATATGTTTTAAATGTCTGGAAGAATAGATGCAAAAAAACTAAATATCTCTGGTGAATTGCAAGTTTATTTTATTGATTTAATTGTTTTGCTAACTTATTTTTTCTAAATTTCCTACAATAAACCTGAATTACATACATAACATGTGAAAAAAATTTAGAAGATATGCTGAATTTAGTCCTAAAATCTATTAGGCAGGTTCTTTAATTTAGCAAGAGACTTATGTAGGTTACCTTCAGTGATGGGCCTCTTCATTTTTTTTTTTTACAAAAAGAGGGATATCTCATCAAGTTGTCTCAACAGCTTGGGCTGTCATTACTTGGGTTCAGAGTGTCTAAGGATGGAATGGATAGCATGTCTTCCTTGGAATTAGTTCAGTTAAATAGCAAAAGCTTCAGTGAGCTGCAGGCCAGGGAAATGATCGATACTGTGACTCAGAATTTATCATAGATCTATAATTTTTTTTTAAGATTTTATTGGGGGAATTGGGGAAGGTGAACAGTGTTGGGGAATTGGAGTAGGGAAACAGCCAAGTTGTTGTCCTCCAGTCTTAGTTGTGGAGGGCGCAGCTAGCTCAGCTCCAAGTCCAGTTGCCATCTGGCCCCCCATCGT